ATGAGAAGACTAAGTCTCCCAACGTTATGAGTAGCTCGAAAAGAATTTTGGGTAAACTGGAAGATTATTATAGTCCTGCTACCATTTGGAATTACAGATTGATTCACCTGTATGTATATTTTTTCCCTTTTAACCACTAAATAATTCTCATTTCTTTTTCCTAACTAATAAATCTTTAAACAATAAGTCCTGTGGCACCTTAGGGTGTGGCCTTTTTTCAAAAAGGGGTAGGTTGCATCGCCCATGATGCACACGGGCATATCCATGTCCCCAATCCTGATGGTGCAGTTGGGAAAAAATGTACTGGCGTACAACCTCTGGAAGAGGCCGGAGTTCAAAAGTATGCGGGCATCGCATGCATGGTGCACAGGGGAGGGTGTGAAGGGCTATGGTGCATGAGAAACACATGGAGTAGGGTGAGGAGGTGCCCCAGAGTGAGCTGCTGGTTCTGGTCCTGCAGTGCCATGTGGGCAGCCTACATTAACTGTGCCAGGTGTAGCATGAGGTCTAAGAGCTGGTGACTGCTTTGCAGCAGGTCTGGTTCCCTAGCAGAAGTGAGAAGAGTTAAAAGGAGTTTAAAAGAAGTTTTCCTTCAAGCAGCGCAGTCAAGCTGTAGAACTCCTTGCCAGAGGATGTTGTGAAGACTAGGTCTTTAAGAGGGTTCAAAAAAGAGCTAGATAAGTTCATGGAGGTTAGGTCCATCAATGGCTATTAGCCAGGATTGGTAGGAATGGTGTCCTTAGCCTCTGTTTGTCTGGAAATGGATGACAGGAGAGGGATCATTTGATGATTACCTGTTATGTTCACGCCCTCTGGGGCATCTGGCATTGGCCACTGTCGGCAGACAGGATACTGGGCTGGATGGACCTTTCATCTGACCCAATATGGCTGTTCTTATGTTCTTATGAGATTGCTATCCCTTCAGGAGGTAGGCAAGAGTGTGAGACACCGCTGTAGAGGTGAGCCCTCTTAAGCCTGAGCCTCAGATAGTCTCAGGCAGCAGCTACAGGAAGTGACTTCTGTCCTGATGCTTTTCCCGGAGCGTTTCAGGGGTTTTTAAATGCGATTCAGCCTCCAATCAGTGTGGACACATAATTCTGAACTATTTTGATGGGGATTTGTAGTGTGGACATGCTATTTTGCAATAAGTGCATAGTGTTGACATCCCCTAAGAAACTAAGGGCATGTCTACAGAGGGGAGTTATTTTGAAATGACTCCCCTTATTTCAAAATAACAAGATGAGCATCCAAACTACTAAACTTATTGCAAAATAATTGGCTTGTTATTTCAAAATAACTCCTGCTTGTGAAGAAGAATAAGCTTATTTTGAAATAACCTGGTAGTGTAGACATAGACAAACAGAATTATTAGGGCATAAGCTTTTGTGGATAAAACTCACTTAATCAGATGAATTAGACAAACCTTTAGTTACTTTACTATAGAACTGGCTATTAGTTTTGTCTTTGATGTAAGATTTAGGGGTGCAAATTGATCTTGGGTGAGTGACTGGTTGCTTGAGACTGGTTGCTTGAGACTGGATGTAACCTACAATATTTGTGATTATTTTAGTATGTCTATCACATAGTCCATCTTGCTTCTGTGGCAAAATAGACCAGCGTGCCTAATGGCATTGTTAGTGACTAATAATTGTAGCTCTTTTAGGCATTCACATTTGTTACTTGATATAATCTAATTACAGAACTAACCAAGGGGCTCTGTCCTGCTTTTGACAATCTATCCTGAGAGAAACATACTCAGTTGTGTGCCACTCCAGATTGTGTGACAGCTCCCAGTCCCAAACTCAGTCACTTACCACAGGGTCGATTGCACCTTAGATCTCTCACCACTGACAACACTTGTATCCAATTGTATAATAAAGTATAAAAAGATTTATTAAGTAGGAAAAAGAAGCAAGAGAATTACTTACAGTTAAAGCAAGTAAACATATATGCACACAAGTTTTAATAGAAGGTGTCAAAATTAATAGACGTCTCTATAATAAGTAAGCCCTATGTGTCCTTTGGGGCTAACCCAGACTAAGCACTGGGTATCTCTTGCTTATGTCTGGTAAATCTGCCACTCCGGCCCCAGAGTCCAAGCAACACAGAGATACTGTTTTTACTTGCTACGGGTTGTTATCCCTCCCCTTCCCTGTACTCTTGTGAGCTGCAATTCAGCTGACAGAAGAAATCCATGTACATGATTCCTCTTCATGGTGGGGAGGGCAAAACAAATGTCTTTTGTCCTCTAGTTCCACTGTAGTCCATCTGGTGTTGATGAACCTACGTTGAAGGGCAGAATGTGACACCTTTTGTTACAGACTGGCACTTTGTAATGTGTCTCTACTTTCTGGTGATCATAAGAACCTTACAATATAATCATTCAAATATTACCTTAAAATATAGGATACAGAGGTTGTAAATGAGATTAATACAACTCGGCAACTCAAACAGATTCTTATAATTCTTATACCTATTTTAACAATACTAACACACAGGTGAGCCAAACAGATTCCAGCTATGTACTTCAGCATTCCACTGAGGCATGGGGATTTAAATATGGAACTTGGTTGCCCAGCATCACAACCAGCATCAAGCTAGGTTGTTGGGTGAGGTTATGTTGCTCCCGGTTATTTCAGAAGTGCTGTTGTGTAGCTTTGAGACAAACTGAGAGGTTTGCATTGGGGGTGGACTCATAAGGGGCTTTGTATAAAACAAAGAGGCTTTGCCATATCTTTGAAAAGGTTGGAGACTGAAATAATGTAGGTCAGATTTTTCTCTCTTAAATAAAAACTCCCAGTTGAATTCTATGGGAAAAATTAATTCATGAGGACAGAAGTTAGAATATGTCAGAGGAATGTCACTATTGTCAGAATTTTACTTATATAAAACAGTAAACCCAGAAAGGAAAAAGAATGAAAACTACCAAATTGTTCCTGACATTTTCAGTAATTGGCCCCTCTCAGAAAAGATACGATTGTAGTGGATAATCCTTCAATTTTGCATGTGTTTAAAAAAAAAAATAATGGGTAACAGATGTACCCTAATGGGAAGTAGACCAACAGAACTATTTTAAAATGCAGAGAAGAGAGAGATGATCATATTGGCACATTTTTATATACAACTGATCTAATGCCTTTAACAAATATTCTAGAGAGCCAACCATTTAACAAAGGGAGCCAAAACAGCAGTGGAAAAAATGTGAAGAGCCTCACCAGCATTGTCAAGCAGCAAAAACAAAGAAATTAAAAAAAAATGTTTTTAAAGGATGCTGCCCCTTTAATATGGCCACCATTTAAAAAAAAAACCAATTAAAAAAAAATGTTTTTAAAGGATGCTGCCCCTTTAATATGGCCACCATTTTAAAAAAAACCCACACAGCTCCAAGCCAGTAAGCACAGGGAAGCTGCGGGGAGCTGGTGGGGCATTTGGGGGGGGCCCTCAGGATCAGCTTTGTGAGATGGTGGGAAAGAGCTGCATGCGGCTCACGAGCTGTGGGCTGGCCACGGCTGGTTTACGTGCTGCTACACTCAGCAATACAGGGCCCATCTTTTAGTGGCCTTGTCACCGAAAGGAACTCAGAACTCTGAGTTAGGATACATCTACACTGCAACACTATTTCAAAATAACTAGTGCTTTTCCGAAATAACTTAGTCCGTGTCTACACATCAGGCAGTTATTCCGAAATAGTGTCAAAATACTGTCAAGCTGGAGGACTTCTTACTCCAACTCCTGTAACCCTCATTGTACAAGGAATAAGGGAAGTTGGAGGAAGAGTGCTCTATTTCAAAATCAGTGCTCTGTAGATGCTCCCTATTTCAAAATAAGCTATTTCGAAATAAGATATGCAATTGATGTATCTCAATTTATGTAGCTTATTTCGAGTTAAGCCCTGCAGTGCAGACACACCCTTAGATAGCCCACCTCTTCATATGATACATGGGGCATGACAGGTGCCCAACAATGGGATTCACAAAAGCCAGCCTGCTGAGTGGGGAGCTGCCCAGGCTAGTCAATAGGAAATGCTGAGGTGAGGGGGTGTGGCCTATGTCCCCCTACAAAGGGAGTTAGGAACTTATCTCCACTTTGGACTCACAGCTGTGAACACTCTCCCAGAATTAGGCACCTAAGCTAGGTCAGTCCTTCCTCAAGAAAAAACTGAGAAGCTGGTGTCCTTATTACTTTTAGCTCAGGGGTAAGGGCACTCCCCTACATTATGGGAAATGTGGATTCAATTCCCCCACACACACAGCTGAGCTGAAGAAGAGAGTTTTCCCTTGGCCAGAAGACTGCCCTAGGCATTGAGCTATGGGATGTTCTGGGGCTAGTCCTTCTAAATCTCTTCTGTTGAAACTGGTCTTACTGTGAGTAAATAATTATGAAATTTGCCTTTGAACAAAGGTACTAGAATTTGGGTCTCCCATCTATTAGGGTTCTAATCACTACGCTGTAGTTATTCTTCCTCTCTCACTGACTCAAGGTATACAGAATGGATCAGCTTCAAAACATCCATTTGTTGTTCATGTAAGTGTGCTCAGAGTCCAAAGGCAATAGGTAGAGGCCATGTCTAGTCTAAGAATCCCACTGGGGTTTGGGTGCAAGTTAGATGTGGATCTGCAGGCTCGTGTCAGGATTTGAGACCAATGTGCATCTGTTTAGGTGCTTTGGAGATTTTAACAGTGGAAAGTTTGGTGCTTAGGGATTTATGGGCATCTATAGGATTAGGATTTTTGTGGTGGCCAGAGGCACCCAAATGGTGGATTGGGTCAATAAAAGTGTCATTTAGGCATCTATATCGCCCTTGTAAATCTCACACTCAAGCATCTGTCCTCTTATATATTACAATGGACCTAATCCTTGGACTTAGCATTTTGGTACTGGGAGAGAAGCATGCACATTATGCTATTCAATGCCAATTCTACAAGATTTTGCAAATTTTTTCATTTCTTGAAAATAAAAATAAGTGGAAGTAATATAATAATATAACAATGGAAACAGATCAGACATAAAATTTATTTTACATCAACAGAATATAAAAAGGAATATGCTTCTGCTTCAACTAATAAGGAACATATTAATGAACTATATTCATAAGAATTAAATACACAAATATTCAATAAGAATGTACAGTATAAAAGCCATGCTTAAAAGACAGACATGAAACTTTTTTGCCTCCATGCTGCACTCTCAGAGGAACATTAAAAAATTATTTTATTTGCCAAAACATCAGGAAAAAAAATCCATAAAATGCTCCCTGAATAGTTGTCCAACACTATTATCAGATAGCTATTTCAATGTCCTGCTAGTTGCAATATCTTATTCTATATAAATAAATATGGTGTATATTCTAACCACATGTAAAAAATTAAATGTCTTGTATACTATGATACAAGTCAATTTTTTAAAAACTTTTCCTGCTACCCAGACCAAGCACAGATCTTTTACTATGAAGGGGTTGTTCCCATTTAATTTTACCTAACATTTTGTAAAATGTTTTTCATAGTATCTCTGATGTAAAAATCATGTGAATTGTTTTACATAACAAATAATCAAAGCATGGCAAAGTGCTGTTTTAATTGTTTGATGAGCTGTTGTGTATCAACATGGTCTGGAAATGCTTCTTTTGACTTCTGAGCAGCTATGTAACTCCTCTGGAGATCTCCAACCTGTAAGACACATACAAACACTCTAGTCACAAACACTGCACTACTTACTGCATGTGCTCTGGGCAGCACACTTTTTGATACCATGACACTTCCTTCACTAGTGTCCAAGTAAACTGCTCTCAAAAATGAACAAGTTTTATATAGGCCTAAAACTTCTACAAGTGAGGGTATATGAATAAAAAATCCACTAGTGATGCAGGATATGTCTAAATAGCCTGAGCACCATAGAACAGAGCAGAGCGATGACCTCTTCAGAAAGACCTCCAGAGGGAGAATTTGAGAAGAGGCAGGCTGGAGTCCTGGCTAGAAAGGCTGTCACTATTTGCACACAAGTGTATTGTATTGGGCATAGGGGTTATGTTAGCAGGCTGCATATACATCTGATCTGCCCTTACTCCTGTGAAGTTCCCCTGCCCTCAAGCTATGCCACATGTAGGAACCAGGATGAGGATATGATCTTTAATCAGTAAGTATGGCAAATAATTTTTACAATTTAAATCTTGTGCTTTACAATGGAGAGGGTATGTTTAAGAATCAGTAGGTTATTTTCACCTTGATGCATTCATATAACTCTTTAGTTATATTGGGAGCTGAGCTGTCCACACAGTGGCTTCAAGGTGAAGGCAGAGGCAAAGATCCATTTCTACTTGCAAAACATTGTGTCTAGACTACAGGGTTTTTTCAAAAATTTTTTTTCGGGTTTCTTCGAAATAAACTTCACCTGCATCTAGACTGCAGCTGAGTTCTTTCGAAAGTTTTTTTGATCACGGTAAACCTTATTTTATGAGGAATAATGCCTTTTTTAGAAAGTACTCTTTCGAAAAAAGGCACAATTGAATGAACAATGTGCATTTTCGAAAGAGTGCCTAGACTCTTTCGAAAAAGCGTCTCGCTTTTTCAAAAAATCTGCTTGTATTCTAGATGCTCTCTTTGGAAAGAGGCTTGTAGTCTAGATGTAACCTTTGAGACCAGTACATACTACTTTTTAATACGATATGAACTGGATGTCGTATGGGTCACTTACCGCCCACTCTATTAGCCTCATTTAGCATACTATAATTGACAGGTCTTCCCCCTTCTTTTTCTGCTTTAAATTTGTGGGGTTTCTTCTTTTTGCTCCACTAATCTGAAGAAGTGGGTTGTGCCCACGAATGCTCTTGATACTATATTTTTGTTAGTTTCTAAGGTGCTATAGGATCACTCATTTTTTTACTCTTTAATATGACTGAGATTGTAACAGATAACGGGCATGAGTTTAAGAAAAAAAATTCAGAAGTTGGCTCATATAGCACTTAATTCAAAACTAGTTTTCTACTCATAATCTCACACTTCTTTTCAATCTAGATCAGGATACCTCTTCTGCACTTTTCTTTCAAACTAAACAAATAAAAAGATAAATTAGCAGTTCAGAAACTGAAATGTCTCGTATGGCAGAAGTTTAATAAAAAGCAGAAGTCAATAGTACTAAAGCTGAAAAAATATTATATTCCAGGAACAAGTAAAATTATGGCATAAATAATTTTAACACTCTTTTCACTGTTAAGAAATCATAATTTGATGCTATTTTATTACATACAGGTTGAATCTCTTTTGTTTGGCACCCTGGGGACCTGATTGGTGCTGAACCAGAGGATTTGTTGTACCACAGAAGGTCAATATTGTTAGCAGCATTGCCAACACTTCCCCTTCTCACTGCACTCTTAGAAAACATTTAGGGTAAATTAGGGTATGTCTACACTACCCCGCTAGTTCGAACTAGCGGGGTAATGTAGGCATACCGCACTTGCAAATGAAGCCCGGGATTTGAATTTCCCGGGCTTCATTTGCATAAGCGGGGAGCCACCATTTTTAAAACCCC